CAATGAATTGTAGAAATGAATTAACAACGACTCATAAGCTCTATCAGAGATGTTGTGGCTGTAATTTTCTTCATATCTTTCCTTTTCTTTCTTTTTTTTTCATTTAATTTCCTTTCTTCTCCTTCCAGCAGTGCCATTCGCCTCTGTTATTGTTGCTGAGTGCTGTATTTAGGAAGCAAAAAAAAATGCATAACTATCGTAAGCTGGAGAAGGCAGCGACAGAAAAATGAAACAAAAGAGGGAAATAGTTACTGAGCAAAGCTATACAGGAGGGTAAGAAAAGGAGAAAAAAGGTTCTAAAAACTAAAGAGTAGCGGGGAGGGGGGGGGAGGGGAGGGGTAGTTGGGGAGTGTCAACGAACACAAAATAAGCAATAAAAACGATTTGCTGTCCAAAAAAATTGGTAAATGGCAACAATTCGCTGTTGCGGCTTCTTTTAAAATGAAATAAAATAAAATAAAGAGAAAAAACTCATCAAAATTTGTAAAGACGATAACTCCGCAACGTTATTTTTTATTTTCATTTTTTCAATTTTTTTCGGTTCTGCATTTCTAAGATTATCAAACAGCACTGTTTTAATAAACATTTTTTTTGCCCCGTCTGACACCCAAACAGAAATCAGTTATTGCCCAAACTTCAATTCATCTCTGTTTTCTCTTCCCAAAGATAAATTGCAGTTGCAGTTAAAAATTCTTCTTTTTCTCCCTCTGCAAAAAAAAAAGTTTTATATAACTGTTGTTCAAAAATCTTAATTAATGGGACAGCATTTGAAAATTGTTAGTGGAAATGATAAATTCAAAAAGCACAAGAGGTAAAGACACAAAAGGCTCTAGTGTTACGAAAAACAAATTCCTTTCTTCATTGAATTAACAACCTCTTTTTTGTTGTTATTGTTGTTGTTTTTGTTTTGGACAATCATTGACGACCGATTAAGAGCTATAAAGTATGCTTGGCTACAGCAACTGTCATACAAAAAATAGAAATGAGAGGAAAGGGAAAAAAAGTACATAAAAGTCCAAAAGTGCATAAGTCTTAGACGGCAATCCGCATTAATCGTGCTCCTTCCCCCAATAACATCCCAGAAATGCTATCTGTATAAATGTGGCAACTTACAGTCACAATTACGAAATGGTCTCACAGAAAACAAAAACACCGAAACACTGAACCGCCTATATTATCTGCTGTGTGCCTTCTTCAGTTACTCAACAACATGGATCATTTGACAAAAATCAAGCACCTCGTTGACTTCACTTCTAAACACAGGCACTTCAAAAATGG